AAAACAATTCCCAACTTGAAACTATACTACAAAGCCACTGTGATAAAAACACCATGGTACTTGCAAAGAAATAGACCTGAGGATCAGTGGAACAGATTGGAAAACACAAAAACAACTCCAGATGTACTCAGCTACCTCATCTTTGACAAAGGAGCTGGCCATCCCCACTGGAGGAAGGATGGCCTATTTAATAGATAGTGTTGGAAAAACTGGATCTCAACCTGCCAAAGATTAAAACTAGACCCTTATCTTTCACCAAGCACTAAACTAAAATCCAAGTAGATTAAAGACTTAAATATTAAAACAGAAACACTAAACTTGCTGGAAGATAAGTTAGGCAGAACTCTTGAAGTCATCAGCATAGGAAAAGACTTTATGAACAAATTCTCAGTAGCATGAGGACTAGCACAAAGATTCAACAACTGGGATCTCATCTCATTAAAAAGTTTCTGCCCTGCAAAAGAAACTACCAACAGAACTAAGAGACAACCTACCATGTGGGAAAACAATTTAACAGTTGCTTCTCAGACAAGGGAATAGTATCTAGAATATATAAAGAACTCATAAAAATCAGGCTCTCCAAATATAAAGACCCAATTCAAAAATGAGCATCTTAAATGAACAGACATTTCTCAAGACAAAGAAGTAAAGGTATCAAATAAATATATGAAATAATGTTTGACATCACTGGTCATTTGAAAGATGCAGATGAAAACATTGAGATTCCACCTCACCCCAGAAAGAGTGGCTGCTATCAAGAAATGAACCAATAACAAATGTTGGCAGGTTTATGGGGAGAAAGGAACCCTTCTCCATTGTTGGTGGGAGTACAGACTGGTGCAACCACTATGGAAATCAATATGGAGATAACTCAAAAAACTACGATTAGAGGTTCCATTTGACCCAGCTATCCCTCTTCTGGGTATCTTTCCAAAAGAAAAGAATCATACCATAGTGATACATGTGCACCCTTGTCAATAGCGGCATATTTTGTTATAGCTGAAACTTGGAAACAGTCCAATTGCCCATCAGTAGGAGACTGAACAAAGAAGATGTGGCTTTTCTACACAATGGAATACTACTCAGCCATAAAGAATGAGAAACTAGAGTCATTCACCGAAAAATGGATGAAGATTAAGGCCATACTCAAGTGAAATGATACTGAATGGTTTCTCTCGTGTGAGAAATTAAAAGTGTAAATAAGGTCCAAATGGTATAACTGACAATGTGAAATAGGAAGAAAAGGGCTGAAGGTTTGTGGGGAGAGGGAAGAGTAGGGGAAAGGAAATAAGGGAAAAGAAAATATGAGAAAAAATAATAGAAACAAACTTTTTGTAAATTGGGAAGAGTGGAGGGGGTATGGGGAAAATATGCGAACTAAGACCTGTCATGGAAAGTTACAAGATCCCAATGATCAATGTAATTGTACTATATACCTTCAAAGTGCCAATAAACTCAATGAGGAAAATAAAAAAGAAAATGCTTGTGCTATTTTACATCTCCCTAATAATGTTTTAGTTACCTGTAATTAAAAAGGGGTGATTTATTATGATACACCAAATACATGAAATCACACACTGATCCTCCAGGTCTTTCTATAAAAAGATTCATTAAAATAAAATTGGCTAAGATGCAGACATTTTGCCTTTGTGTTTTTCTTTCTGGGTAATTTTCTTTCTAAACTGGATTATTTTTCAGATTAGATAAGATGTAAATTTCTGACAAACTATATCTAAATTTTAGCACAATAAAATGTCTTAAATTTCCTAAGAACTATAATAAATTAAGGCAAAGAATAACAGTATTAAAATTTCAAATTCAGTTTAACTAGGCAAGCAGTCTACTTCAAGAAATGAATTTCCAACCTGGTTACAACCTCAATCCTACCTACAGATATGTAAATTTAGGAGTAACTATTGCATGAATCTATTTAAAAATATGACAATAATTTATTTTAGACCTGCAGGGTGCTCCTGCTCACATCAACCTGCATCCAGCCATCTGAAAAGAAATGGTTAATGATTCAGTCAACCTGCCCTCACCTAAGACTACAACCTGTGGAGAAATGAGTAGGGCATAGCTATGCAGTGAGCCTAATTAGCTGCAGATAGCTACCAGTAGACAAATGTACAATGGATAGGCACACAGTGAGCCTGCATTCCCATTGTATTACCTCCCACAGACCAGTGAGAATCTGGTAAGAGCACAGAGAGCACTCACTACTATTGTTCAGCATTCAGCAGATATATGATCACTGGTTAGGCACATGATGAGCCCGTCCTGGCTTGCTTGCATCCGGTACACCAGTTATGGAATGGTTAGCAATCCAGTGAGCACCTCCTCACCCCGTTAGCTATACATTGATGCTGTGAGGATTGGTGAGACAAGCGGCGTGCTTGCCCTGGTTCTGGGCTGCACCCAGTGAAAGTTTTAATAATGGGTAAGCATGCAAACATCCTTGCCTCAAGCCAAAAGGCATACTAAAGTGTGGAGAGTACTTTAAAGCCATGCAACAATGCTGAAGTCACTACAATTTTACACAGGGGTCCCATGAAGATCAAATGGCCACACAGTGAGCACACCTTTGTCCCTGCCTGCAACCAGTGGGCAAATGAGCAGGGCATAGCCACTGAGTGAGAATGCCCTTCCCTTACCCATCAAATAGCAGAAGGTTCAAGCAGCCAATAAACAAGCAGTGAGCCAGTATTCAATCTAAGCTGCCACTAGCAGAATGAATAGAACCACTTAACAGCAAAGTAGAGCCCTCAATCATATCCTTCCACATGTAGGACACTTTGGGGACTAGTTAGCAGCATGAAAAGCCAGCCCTCACTGCTGTCTCAGCCAGGGATATGGTTCTAGAATATTTAACAATGCAGTGAGACTGTCCTCACTGGCAGACAAGCAGAAGGCTTGAGAAGGCCAGTCAGACACACAATGAGCTCACGCAGACCTGGCTTTCATACAGTGGAACATTTCAGACTGGTTAGGCATTCAGTGAACATGCATTCAAACAAACAATCCTACAAAGATCTGGAGAGTCATTGTACAATATGCAGTGAGCCTGAATTTGCCACAGCCGTGAGCCAGGGCGACTATGTGAATTGGTGAGCCATGCATTGAGCCTGCCCTTATCCAGGAATCAAACAGGTGAAACATTGGGTTCTACCTAGAAAGGCAGACATGTCAGACTCATAACGAATTGAAGGCAGGAGAATCTTGAGGAGCTCTTAGTCACAGTGTGAGACTGCCAGGCCCCTGGACTTCAAGCACTGGACAGTTGAGGTACAGTTTGCAACTAAGAGACTTGCACTCATATGGCTGGCATGCAGTGAAACATTTAGTACTTGTTAGACACATTGTGAGACACACCTGGCATCGTCCTCCTTCCATTGCAACTCTGAGCTGCAGAATAGCACGAAGTGAGTTCACTCTCATCCCAGGATACATCAAGCAGACTGTTTAGGAACATTAATTCATGCAGAGTGCTCATGCTCTCCGCAGTACACATACAGCCATATGAAAAGGAATGGTTATCGAGACAGTGAGAAAATCTCACTTGGGAAAGAACCCTGTTGAAAAATCAGCAGGGCTCAACCTCAAAAACACACTATGCTGCAAAGGGAGTAAAACGGTGAGCCAGCTCAGACCCCTAAATCTAGCTATAAACCTACTAACTAGCCTTTCTCTACCCATTATATATAGACTGCAATGTTCAAGTGCTTTCAAGCATATTACAACCCAACTTGAAAAAAGTCACTGCCCTCGCCTTCCTTCTCACATGCAAAATAACTGGAACATGAAAACCTTCCCTACCATGCTCCCCCTTCCTAACCCTAACCCTAACCCACAACCTTATTCCTAAGTTCCCATAGGGTGGTCTTGAAATCCTGCTCTGTGGCTAAGCCTAAAATGAAATCTCACGCTGATACTAACAATAAAACCCACACGCCAATACCAAGGTAGAAATTTTCCAACTCTATCACTCACCGTAAATCTAACCCCAACCCTAACCCTAACCTTCAACCTCAAGAAGGTACTTATATTCGCACAGAATTCCTAAAACTGAAAGTCAAATTAACTCCAACCGTCACCCTTAAAAAAAAACTACACTACGGAGGGAGTGAAATGGGGAGCCAACTCTCTACCCAAAATCTACTTAGAACCCAGCTAACTAGCCAATCACTACCCATTATATAGAGACCACAATGTTCAAGTGCTTGGAAATGCACAGTACATCCCAGCTTCAAAAAAGGCACTGCCCTCAACTTCCCTCCCACATGCAAACTCTCTTCTATTTGAACTCCTTCCATATCACCCTCAACAATACTAAATCAAATCCTAATGCACAACCTGATTCTTAATTTCCCATAGACTGGTACTCGAAATCCTGCACAGTGGCTAACGCTAAGGAGCAACATCATGCTGATAGTAGCTATGAAAACCAGAGCCCATTACACAACTAGAGAAATTCGAAGGCCATCACACACCCTAATCTTAACCCTACACCTAACCCTAACCCTAACTGCCTAACACTAACCCTAACTCTAACCCTTAACCCCGAACCCTAACCCTAACCCTACCGCTACCCCTACCCCAACACCAAACCTAACCCTAACCCTAACCCTAACCCTCACCGTAACCCTAACCCTAACCCTCTAACCCTAATCCTAACCCCTAACCCCTAACCCTAACCCTAACCCCAAACCCTAACCCTAACCCTAAGAAAAGGAATAAATACTTAGATGGCGACAGATGAAAAAATTTTACTTGATAAAATTGTTTGTGTGGGCAGTGCTACTGAGTATTGAACCCAGGGCCTTTGTGCTGAGCTACAGCCCTAGTACTTTTTATTTTGAAGCTGAGACAAAATTTCCCTAAATTACCCAGGCTGGGCTGGAATTTGCAGTCCTCTGGCCTTAGTCTCCTATGGCGGTGGGATTACAGATGTGCACCACCATACCAGGTTTAAAAGATAAAAGTTCTTTGAGTCACAGCTGCCTAGAAATTTCAAGGGTATGGGAGGCAGAGGTAACCGGACAGTCGCCCCATGGGGGCTGCCTGACAGGACATTCCAGGCCCCGGGCACCACCTAAGTCATCAGATAAGAAACCCTGAGCTGAGAAACCCTTCAGAGGGGAGGCTGGACCCTGCAGCAGAGGGGATGGGGCCAGGAAGGGGTGGGGCCCTTACATCCCATTGATGGCAAGGACACTGGCCATGCAGTCCGGGAAGCCGTGAGCCCACAGGCTGGGCATGTCATCGTCCATGATTTCCATCTTGCGCCCACCAAAGGCAAGGCTCTCAAACAGGTGCAGCTTGTGGTCCCGGCCATCCTGGGGGTGAGAACCAGGAGGGCTTATTACTTTCACACCCAGAACAGGGCACAGGAGTCCGGAAGCAGGAAAGAACCACAGCAGGAGGAAGGGGACTCAGGAGGAAGGGTATGAAACCAAAATGGACCAAACAGATATCCTTCAATCCTGACCTTTAAGAAGTTGGGAAACTGAGGCCCGGAGGGGGTGGCAGAAGACCAAAAGTATTAATGTAGACAGGTGCCATGACACATGCCTTTAATCCTGGCACTCTGCAGGGCTGAGGCAGCACAATCTCAAGTTCAAGCCCAGGGTGGGCAATTTAATGACATAGTGAGACTGTTCTGTCTCAAAGCAAAATAAAATTAAGAGGCTGGGGGAGGTAGCTCAGTGCCAAGGCCCTCAGTTTGATCTCCACTAGTGGGAAAAAAAATTCCAAGCATCCCCTCTTTATTAAGCAAGATACCGATTTAATCTTCCCTCTTTCCCCTTTCCACTGCCCTCTGAAAGAGACTCCATGACAGGACACAGAGAAAGGACTGAGGCAGCCAACGCATGTGAAGTAAATGGGTGACATTTTAAATGCTACTGTGGGGGCTGGGGATTTAGCTCAGTGCCGCTGTGCCTGCCTGGCAAGTGCAAGGTCCAGAGTTCAATCCCTGGTACTGAAAATAAATAAATAAATGCTACTGTGGACTGTGTCCCTTTCAGGTGTTAGAGAAACTCGAGGGAAGAAGAGGAAATATTTTGAGGATACTTTCCGAAGTTATTTACTGGCCTGCATTCCTATGACCCCAGTGTGGATCCAAGACTGGACTCTGTGGCTTCTAATTGTAATAGGGTTACAAAAGGAAGTCCCAGGGTCACCCGGGCTGATTCAAGATAGGAACTCTGGTGTCCAGACCCGCATTTGATGCCCATTCAGTGGCCAACTTCTTGTCCCACATGACAGAGATGTGTTCTTCTGGGACCAGGCCCCACACTCTCTGCTCCCCAGCTCCCAGAAATGGGCAGGACATCTACTCACGATGTGCAGAGGCCGGAGGGACAGCAGGCTGTCACTGTGGCAGCTGCTGGACCAGGCATCCCAGCACAGGTAATCCCCCTTCTCCAGGACAAACTGCTCCCCACAGAAGGCCCTGCACTCAAACGCCAGCCACCTGGGAAAGGAAGGGGCTGGGTTCATCTGGATGCAGCCAGGGGACCCTGATTCAGGGAGGACAGGACCCAAGAGCTGCCGACATCCACCTAGCACCCTGCCCATCCCAACCTGACCTACTACTGAGGAACTACAGGGACACACTGGGCACATCCGGGGCTCTGGGCCAGAAAAATACTGAGGAGGTATTTGATCCAGTCTCTGTGCAGGATACTCTGAAATGTCCCAGCAACAACAGACACACAGCCAGGATTCCTTAGGCCACTCCTCCTCCTCCTCCTCCTCTTCCCTCCCCTCCTCCATCATTCAGCTTGTTTTCCCAAACTCTCCCTCTGATATAGCACCTCTGTCGCCACGGCTGGACAGCTGAGAAGAGGCCCAAGACCACACAGATGGTGCCACAGCCCACCCTGCCCATCTGCAGGTAGGGATTCAGAGCCAGCCTGGGACCCCTGCTTGCTGTGGGCACAGAAGGGACACCTAATGCTTTGGCCTCGGTTTCCTCATTTGTAAAAGGAGATAAGGATGACACCTTTCTCAAAGGATGAGGACTCGTGATATAATGCACGTTACATTTCAGATGTCACCACCTGTAGTCCTAGCACTCTGGGAGCTGAGGCAGGAAGATCTCAAGTTTGAGCTCAACTTGGGCAATTTAGTGACTTAGTGAGAGCTTGTTTTTAATTTAATAAGGTCTGGGGCTGTAGCTCGTTTATAATTTTCAAAATTATAAATATTAAGTTCCATTTATATTTCTGTAAATTGAATATTCCGGAAGGGGCGGAGCTGTCTTTCTCTGCCCTTTCTCCCCAGTACTGTCATGTACAACGGAAATCAAGACCTAGAAAGATGCTAAGAGGAATTAAAGTTCCACAATCTCATTAGCAGATGGAGAAACTGAGCCCAGAGAAGGGATGGGAGTAACCTACCCCATAGCAGATTTTGACCCGGAATCGGGATCCCCGCCCCCAGTTGCGGAAGGCTCAGGCTGTGCTGGCCCACCTGGTACTCACGGCCCAGACTCCGCTTGGATGGAGCCCACCTTCTCCAGCATCAGTCAGGCTAGGGCACTTGGCCGAGAGCTCATATCGCTTGCCCTGGAAGTTCTCCAGTTCGTACAAGGTCACCTGGGAAAGTAGCGTCCTGAACACTTACCTTGCCCAGACCCCAGCTGCAGCCCAGACCACAGCTGCAGCCCAGACCCGCCGGATGATGGGGCTCACACTGCCCCCTCGTGGCCATAGGCGAACTGCCTGCAGGTGCCTCCCTTAGACCAAGAGGACCTGGGATCACCAGATCCGGAGGCCTTTCGAGGTCACTAGAACGGCATGCAGGGTTAGAAGCTGCGGGACCTGGGCAAGGCTGACCCAGCGTCACCTGAGGATCAGGCCTAGGGTCAGCAGTTCTGGGGCTGCCTTTCCTGCCAGTCCTCTGTTCTTGAAGATGCTACCAGGATGCCCTCAGAAATACCCTACAAGGCAGAGCCTACTGGCACAAGCCTGTAATCCTAGCTCTCCGGAAGGCTGAGACAGGAGGACCCCAAGTTGTAACTCAGACAGGGCAACTTAGCAAGACTGTCTCTCAAAAAACAAAATGAGAGGGCTGGGGATTTAGCTCGGTTCCACAGCCTACCTTGCAAGCACAAGGACCTGAGTTCCATCCCTGGTACCAAAAAAAAAAAAAAAAACAACAGGAGTCAGAGGTGGTGGCACATGCCTGTAATCCCAGCACTCAGGAGGCTGGAGCAAGAGGATCTCTGTGAGTTCAAGGCCAGCCTGGGCTACATAGTGAGTTCAGGACCAGTCTGAACTGCAAAGTGTGAGA